ACATCCTTGAGCGCTGGGATTTCAGGGGTAAGATAACACATCAGGCTTGAAACTTGCTCAGGGCAAGGATTAAAGTCTAGAACCACTAACTCTTTACCTTTTTCTCTCAACTCTCGAATTCTAAGCAGGTGCTCCCCCACTGAGCTACACCCCCAGCCCCTTACTGGGAGATCCATTCTATCAGCAGGGGCTGTCCTTGTGCAGATAACAACCTTATCACTGAGATTTCATGAGTGTAGCTTCCCTGTCATCTCAATGGATGCCCTGGTCCTCTCTGGCTCTCAGTCTTTGCATTCCCTCTTCTGCAATGTCCCCAGAGCTTTGGAGGTAGGAATTGTGTTGTAGATGGGTGGATGGGGGCTGGCACCCTGAGGGCAGGTATTGTCTGCATTTTGACCAGTTGTGGTTTTCTGTGTCAGTCTCTACCTGCTGCAAAAAGAAGCTTCTTCCAAGAGGAGTCAGGTCTTCTTGGTGGGTAGAAGGCTAAGTAAGTATTTAGAAAGCAGTTAGGACTGGGCAGTGGAGGCGCACACCTTTAATCCTAGCACTGGGGAGGCAGAGGCAGATGGATCTTTGTGAGTTCTATGACAGCCGGGGCCACACAGAGAAACTCTGTGACAAACAAACAAGAAGAAAGAAAGCAGTTCTTAGAAATAGTGCTGGTTTAGGAAAGCGGCAGTAGTGGGTTCTGCTCCAGGGTCTGTAGCCTCACCAAACACATAAAGCACAGGTCATAGGTTAAGTTAGAGTGCCAGACATAAATCCCCACCCCACCCCCACCTGTCCTGGAACTAGCTCTTGTAGACCAGGCTGGTCTCAAACTCACAGAGATCCTCCTGCCTCTGCTTCCCGAGTGCTGGGATTAAAGGCGTGCGCCACCACCGCCTGATCAGACATGAATTTTCTCCTGTTGAGTGGTCCTTAAGTCCAATTAGATGGCTGGCTATTGGTTACCCCAAGGATGGATGTGCCACTACTGTTCCTTGAGGAATGTCTTAGTGATCTCCTCATTGCTATGGCTCAAAGGCTTTACTGATGGGTAGGACTCTTGATTTGCTTTTTCTCCCTTGCCAGTTTGCCCATTACCTTCCTGTCCTGTGAGAGCCAGTCCTTGAGGAGAAGGCTTCTAGGTCAGTTCCAGCTTGATTCCTTCAAGTCCTATGTCTGAAGTGCAGGTGCAATAGGGACTTACATTCACTATCTGGGCAGCCAACAAGGGCCATGGCAGTAGCCTGTATTTTTTGTATTTTGTATTTTTGGGGGGTCTTGGACTCCCCTGACCAACAACTTGAAGGAAGTTTTCCTACACCTGGCATTGTTTTTGTTGGTGTTGTTGTTGTTTAATCTATGGCTTTTGGGGAGAACATTGTCACTCCAAGTGCTCACACACACACACACACACACACACACAAAATAGTAAGTAAACATGTGACTCCCTATGGCTTTTTCAAACATCTTTAAGGGTATTTATCCTTCTCTCTTTCTTCTTTTGTCTTATACTGTCTTCCATTCCCCAGGTGAGTCTCTCCCAGTCCTGTTTTTAATAATATCTATTTCTTTATTGTTTGTTTATTTTTGTGACGCTGTGGGTAGAACTCAGGCCTTCTCATATCCTAAGTCAGCCTTATACCAGGTCTTTTGTTGTCAATTAAAATATTTTTACTGTAGCAAGATCCTGTCTCAAAAACTTACATAAAACGGGTATTTAATTTAAAAAGTCATATGCATATGAATGTGTGCTGGTGCCCTTTGAGTTTAGAAGAGGACACTGGATTCCCTAAAACTAGAGTCACGGGAGTCTATGATCTTCCTGGTGTAAGTACCTGGGCACTGAACTCAGTTCCTCTGCAAGAGCAGCAAGTGTTCTAAAGTACTAGGCCATCTCTTCAGTTTTAGGATGCTGTTTGTTGAATGACAGTATGTGAATGCTGTTACTAGGCCTGGTGGACTGCTCAATGGGAGAGCACTGACCTAGCGTGTGCAAGGGTCCTGGATTCCATCCCCAGCACTACAAAAAAGCTACTAATTAATATTTGTTATTAATCATTATTGCTACAAATATTTTGCAGCTAGGAGTCTGATAAGCATTTGCTTTTTTGCCTTTTATGGTCTCATAATTTTCTTTGTCTTTGTAATGAAATTATTTTACATTCACATATTTATTTATGCATGCGTGCATGCCCACACATGTACCATGGTGTGGTTGTGGAGGTCAGAGGATGACTTCCAGGAGTTGGCACTTTCCTTCAACCACGTGGGTCCTGGGGATCAAGCCCAGGTTGTCTGGTTTGGTCATCAGCACCTTTACTCACTCTTTGAATCGTCTTGTCAGCCCATATTTGTAAAGTTTGGAGTTAGTATACAAATGAAAGGGTCCTCCAGTGTCCTCAGAAGTGGTTCCTTCTCTGCTGGTTTCCCTGTCATCCCCCCTCTAGGTTCCCCCCCTTCCGTCCCTGGGTAATAATAAGCATGACAAGTATCTGTTGAATTTCCCCTTGCCTGAGTTCACAGGCAAATGTGGGTGTATTTATACCATCCTTATAACTACCCTCACAAGTGGGAGAAGCAATGCATCTTAGTTTGCAGCTCACTTTTCCTGATACAGTCTACTGCACCAGTTTCACTTCCGTCTTTACCCTCTTGTCCATGTGAGGATGGAAGCGAGGGCCCCCACACGTGCCAAGCATACTCTGCTGAGCTACACTTTACCTGCCTCCTGATTAAAAAACAAAACCAAAAAACACTTTTATCGATTGTTTTGAAAGATTTGTTTTTTTTAATTTGTGTATAAATATCTTGCATGCATGTATGTGTGTGCACGTGTCCCTTGCAGGCCAGAAGACGGCGTTGGCTTCCTTGTAACTGGAGTTGTAGGCAGTTGTGAGCTGCCGTGTGGATGCTGGGAATTGAACTAAGGTTTTCTGGAGGAGAAGCCAGTACTTTTAACTGCTGAGCCATCTCTCCAGCCACCTTCTCTCTCTCTCTCTCTCTCTCTCTCTCTCTCTGGTGTGTGGAGGTCTGAGAACAGTCGTTCTCTTCTACCATGTGGGGCTTGGGACTAGAACTCAGGCTGTCGAGATTGGCAGCAAGTGCCTTTAGTCTTTCTGCTGTCAAGGCGCCCTATTTATTTTTTTGAGACAGGGACTGATGATGCCAGGTTGGCTCCTAATAGGTTTGTAGACTAGGATGAACTCCTGACCCTCTTCCCTGCTTCCTGAGTGCTAGGATGGCATGTCCAGCTTCAGGTCCCTTCTACTAAAGTTTGGAACTGGAACTCCCTGTTTCGTTGGTTTCCTTGCTTTACCTCGCCTGGGTCCCAGGCTGCCCTCGATTCTTCAGTTTAATTTGTTGCTGGAATATAACATGTATGCACTTGTCAGCAAAGCCAGGAAGCACAAAGGATTTCCATTATGCAGGCAGAGTTGCTTTCCTCCCCTCCCAGTCTCTCAGTTCCTCTTCCAGGACGTCAAATACTTTCTTTTTCCTGTGTGATTGTGGACTCTTCCCACTTACCACACTTACACAGAATCTAAGGTCTGTGGGGACAGCGGTACCATGCTGTTCACTGATCTACCTCCAGCCTTTAGTTGCTGAAGCACTGGCGTGTTTAGATGGCAAATGTGCAGACTCTTTGACTTGTGCTAGTGGTACCTCTTTATTCTATTTCATTTTATCTTATTTTCTATGCTGGGAACATAATCCAGGGCTTTATGCATCACAGGCAGGGGCTCTATCCCTGAACCACACCTCCCCTAGTCCATTGTTCTACCACTTCTTGTACCCTATTGAAAGCCTTCCTCGATCTAGCAAGTCTTGAACCCTAGAACTTGCTGTGTAACAGAAGGTGACATTGAACTCTTGATCCTCCTGCCTCCACTTACTCAAGTGCTTGGATTACAGATTTGCCTCCAGATCAACACTTACTTCTTTATTTTTTCGTGGTTCTGGAGATGGAACACAGGGCTCTGTGTATGAGAGGCAAGTGCTGCATCACTGAGCCACATGCCTCCACAAATGGTTGGTTTTTTGCTGTTGTTTGGTCGGTTTGGTTTGGTTGTGTGTGTGTGTTTCCAGACAGGGTTTCTTTGTGTGAATAGCTCAGGCTGTCCTGTAACTTACTTTGTAGACCAGGCTGGCCTCGAACTCACAGAAATCCCCCTGCCTCTGCCTCCTGAGTGCTGGGATTAAATGTGTGTGCTACCATGCCTGGCCACAAATGTTTTGAGGCAGTTATGGGGCACAATCTTAAATAAATCAAGGGGGAAAATATTCTCTGCTCTTATGGAGCTTATGTTTGGGTGGGCAGTTTACCTTTTGTTTTGTTGTGCTTAAATTTTGTTCTTAATTATGTGTAATTGTGTGTATGTATGTGTGGATATGTGCTTGTGAATGCAGGCAGCCATGAGGCTGGGGGGTGTTGGATACCTTGGGGCTGGAGTCATAGGCTGGAGTCAGGTCTGTGGGTGCTCATTGAGTCATCTCTTTTGCATCTTTAAACAATTTCACTTTTAATTTTATTATTTGTGTGTGTGCACGTGGGTGTATGCAGGTGTCACAGCAGGCCTTGGAGGTCAGAGCACAACTTGTGGGAATTGGTTCTCTCTTTCTTTTATGTGGGACCAGGCATCAAACTCAGACTTTCAGGCCTGTTGGCAAGCAAGAGCCTTTACCCACTGACAGCCTGCTGTTGTTTTTGTCTTTCTTTCTTCTTTTTTTTTTTTTCGAGACAGGGTTTCTCCTTTTTTCTTTTTTTATTAATTAATTTATTTTTTTACATTCCAATCCCAGTTCCCCCTCTCTCTTCTCTTCCTCGTCCCCTCCCCCCCACCTCCCATCTTCTCCTCGGAGTTAGGCCTCCCCTAGGAAGTCTACTAAGTCTGTCCCATCATCCCCTTAAGGCAGGACCAAGGCACCTCTCCACCCCCCACACCCCTGTGTCTAGGCTGAGCAAGGTTATCTCTCCATATAGAATGGGCTCCACTAAGTCATTTATCCTGTTATTGCTTTAAAATGCATTTATTATTATTGTACATGTATCTGTGTATAAATGCAGGTGCGACAATGCCACAGTGTCATGTGGAGGTCAGAGGCCAACTTTGCTTCCAGGGACTGAACTCAGGTCAGCTTCCAGGCAAGCACTTTCCCCTGCTTAGTGAGCTATATAGCTGATCTGTTGTTACTCTTAATTTTGGATTTTTTTTCCGCTCTGAGTTGTTTGGAGGGAAGGAGACAACAGGATCATGTAGTCAAACCTGCTTCTACTTCCCAAGTGCTGGGATGAGAGGCCCAAGCCGCCATGCCCTGCTTCTGCAGTGCTGAGGATAGAACCCAGGGCATTGTGCATGCTAGGTAAGCACTCCACCGCCCGAATCCACATCCCAGCCTGTTGTTTTCCAGAAGGGTCTCACTTGCCCAGCCAGTCCTGGCGAGTCTGAACTTCCTGATCCTCCCAAATCCCAGGTCCCAGGTGCAGGCGCATGTGTCACCACACCCAGTTCTGTTTTGGGGGCTGGGCGCGGCACAAAGTAGGAATTTGTCTCTTGAAGGACCACATAGTAGGTGCTTAATCCTGAGTTGCCGAGCCCTCCCGTAGTAGGTAAGCACGATTTCCTCCATTTCCAGGTCCCAGGCAGAAGCCTGGAGCAAGGCCTTCAGTGTCTTTCGAAGGGAACAGTTGTTTCAGGTCTAGGCCACCTGGGTTAAGAAAGGTGTGACGTCACGCGACCGTGACATCATGAGATGGTGGTTCTCACGGGTGGGGGCTGGGAGGGACAGGACTGGAGGGGGGGGTGCGGACAAAGGGGCCCTGCGCTTCCCCAGCGCGCGCCCTGGCTGACTGGCGGACCACATCTGGAATTCATTGCAAGTCGCCGCCGG